CCTTATTGAAGCATGCTATTCTTAGGTACTATCAAACATTAAAAGCAGGTTTGTTAGATGTAAACTTTGTTCACCTTCTCAGTTCCCCTCAACCACTTTTCTGCAGGCACTTCCTGTATCCCACACCATCCACTGCTGCTGCCTTTGCAGACCTGCAAGGCTTCTGTTGGTGGGTGTTGATCTTTTTGGTGCTGAGTTGCCTACCAAGCTTGGTTGAAACATTGCAGGGCAGAGACCCTGGCTTCCTGAAGGGCTGGATGATGCAACCTGGAAGTGTGAGCCTCCCATAGTGGGAGACTTGACTTTGGGAAATGAGAGATGGGAAGGAGCCAAGAAGACACAATCCTCCTTGTCTCCCTGTTCCTATGACTTCCTATGATGGGAGAGCAGTTTTCTCTCCCATCCCTTCTGGAGAAGACCCTCCTGCTGATGAAGAACATGCTCTGTGTGACCTACTTACTGGGTCGTAGGAAGCAGGGCCAGTATGGTCACCATCACTTTGCAAAGCTACACAACTTTCCTTATCTCATTTCTTCCTTTTTGCCCTCACTCTCACCACTTTAAAGCTGTAAAGTAAGGATACTTGGCCACAATAAAATACTAAACAAAGTAGTCATGGCAGACATAGATGTGCACCACTCAGATTCGCCCTTCAAGAAAGTACGTGTTATCCAGCTGCAAGGACTGGGCTTAGCTGACAGCCCTCTGGCTGACAGCACCTACAGGATTCACCTCAGCTTTTGAGCTAAGGTCACATACTTCTCCAGGTGGCTCCTGGCCTGTGATTGATTGTGATGACGGTAGCCAAGATCACATTCTCATTGCTGGCCCCCACCCAGTGACAGAGCAAGCAGTGGTAGCAGGGCATAGCCATTTCCACCCAACTCACACCTTCTCTAATAATCATTTCTCCAGTTCCTCACTGGGCTGGCAGAGATTGTCAGGTTGGCATCACAGGCTGACGATGATCCCATCCCCATCCCCACTTATCCTGCCTCCTTCACAGATGTCCCTCTCCATGAACCTTGTACACTCCTCACTCCCTTTCACTGTCTGCTTCCCAGAGAGCCCAGCTGGCATGGTTGGTACCAGAATTAGTCTGAGAAGCAGTAAGTTAGAAGCAGTAAGCAGTAGTAAGATGGAGTTTGGGGGCTGAATCATTCACAACCTGGCTAGTCACAAGCACTACATTCTGAGTGATGGGCACAGAGAGCCCCTGGGAAAAGGTGAGAGTCCTGTTTCTAAAATTTCCACTGGTGGTGAGTTGGGAATAAGTACCAGTGGAGACGACTGCCATGGTTGGTGCAGTGATTTAGGCATTTGAAATGTAAGGGGAATGATAAATACAAGGATAATGAAATTGGAGGGTTGTTATCTGATTGTGTTGTCATCCTACAGACTGATAATGAAAAAGCTGTGGGTAACTAACATTGCTTACAGACCTGAAGGTCACTCTCTCAGGACAAGAGAATTTAACATCCAAGCTAGGCCCTTAGGGGATGTTGAAAATATGCTATGAGGGTGACTCCTGGAAACCTGGAAAAAGCAATGAGCCTCACAGAGCCTGAACTGAAATGTCTGAATTGCCACGGTATACAAAAGGAGAAACAAATAAAAGACTCAGGGAAGTAGGAATGCTGGGATGGATATGCTATGTGAAGTCAGAACAAAGTATGTTTCCCAGGAAGGTCCAAAGGATATGCCATTCATCAAGGACGTTCATAGAAATGTGCTGGTGAGAGGGGTCCCAGCACCCCCATGGAGATCACTGTGGCTCTCCTCTGAAGACCAGGGTTAAAGGCAGGAGAAGTGGTCACAGAATTTGGCTCGGTGATAGCAACAGGGATGAGAAGGAACTGGAGTAATAGAGGCCATTTCTGGCATTTCACCACCAGAAGTCAGAGGGTCACAGTGTCCACAGTATGGGATCATTAATAGAACACAGCATCCCTAGGAGCCAAAAAGCTGAGCAGCCCAAAGACACTGCTTAATATACACAGTCAAAATAGAGCAGGAGTGGATGAGCAGAGGTTGAGGGAAGTACTCAAAGTAGTACTCTTGCCCAGTTTTCAGTTTTCGGACCTGGTACCCACTGACTAACGAGATGACTGAGTCCCAGTGCAAAGAACTCTGCAATATATAATTCTTTCCCCAGTGCTTCCCCAAAGGGATCTAGGCCATGTACTTGAGTGACTGTTACCTGGGGAAAGGGAAATTCCCAGATGTTTTCAAGGACTGTTGGAGACAGAGTCTAAGTTGATTCCTATACCCAACAACCAGAAGCTTTATCATGAGCTCTGTGGTACAGCAAAGGAATACTGGGGCCAGGTAATAAATGGAATCTGGACCAACATCTGGGTCCATCAGGTCTGTGAACTCACCTAGTACTTATTTCTCTCATCCCCAAATATGTAATTGGGATTGACATGTGGCAGTTGGAGTAAGCCACATGTTTGTCCTGTTGATGAGAGCTATGATAGTAGAAAGTCAAATGGAAGTCTCTGAAACTTCCCATCTTGCACCAAGATAGTGAAACAAAAACAGTATAACCCTGGAGAGGGATAGCAGAGATGAGAGCTACTCTTAAAATTGTAGGCATGGTGGTCCCTAGAAGATCTCTGTTTATTTGATGGTCTAGTCCTTGCAGAAACCAGATGGATTCTAAAGCCTCTTGCTAGGTCAACCAAGAAATAGCCCTGATCACAGCTGCCCAGCCAGATTTAGTTTCTTTGCTAGAGCAGATAACATGGTCTCTGATTCGCAATATGCAGCCATTGATTTGGCGAATGTGAAAACTATCCCAGTCAGGAAAGAAGATCAGAAACACTTTGCTCCAGCGCTATGTTAGCTCTCCCTCTCTTTGTCATAATTTAGCCTGAAGACATCTGGACTGCCTAGACATATTGCAGAATATCATATTGATTTGTTACATTGATGATCTGGCAGGAGGAGTAAGAGGGTATTGGCCTGCTGGAGACCTTGGGAAGACACATGCACTCCAGAGGAGGGGAGACAAACTACAAAATTTCAGGTACTTGCCAACTTAGTAAAGTTTCTGCACATCCCATGGTCAGGTGCAAGCCAGGACATTCCCTTCAAAGTGAAGGACAGATTGCTGCCCATGCAGCCACCACTACAATGAGGAAATACAGTGACTGTTAAGCCTCCTTGGGCTTTGGAGGCAACACATTCAACACCTAGGAAAACTGCTGCAGCTCATATATCAGGGGATATGGAAGGTTCCAGCTTTAAGTAGGGCTCAGAATAGAGACTGTCTCTGCTGCAGAAGGTCCTCACTGCAGAGCAAGCAGCCCTGCTGCTTAGAACAGAAATCCCGGCACACCCTGTGGTATTTGAGATGTTAGTAGTAAAAGATAAGGTGTGGTGTTCACCGCAAGTCCCAGTGGAAGAATCACAACCCACGCTCCTGGGGTTATGGAACAAGGTCACAATGTCGCTTTCTGTAGCTTTACTTATTCCCAGGGAATAATTTATACAGTCAGAGATTTCACTTGACAATCAGATATAGACCTAAAGAAAGAATTGTAAAGTACTACAGTAACCTACCATGGGAATTTTGGTTTGTTTCTTTACGTATCTAGGATAACAATTACTAAGAGGAAATGAGAAACATTGAAACAATCCTTTTGACAAAACACCATTGCCAGGGTATTGGGGGAACATACTTAACACCTATGTGGCCACAAACCAATTTTCTCTAGCACTCTCGTGATAAGACATACTTTTATATATGTGGATAAATACTGCAATTTTAATATACATGTAAATTAAAATATATCCCATTAACATATTCTTTTTGCATTCATTCTTTTTCTTCTTTTCTTGTTTTTGTTTTTGTTTTTACATTCATTCCTAGTATTTATACTTATCTATAACATATTAGAAGAATAGAGCTGGTAATTACCTCATCACTTTTTTATCAGGAAAATTTTTAGCAGTAACTTTTCAGCAGAAAAGAGAGGAAATTTTTCTATAGTGTGCTATTGTTTGCTTAACTAGTGATACAGGTTTGTAATAGGTTTTCTTTCTTCCTGTCTTTCACAAGGTATATCTCTGATTTGCATTTGAGAATTTCCACAAGTTCAGTTACTAGCTTTGAAAATTTGTAGTTCACATAAAGAACTGTAAGAAGGTTTAAAAACCGTTTCCCTTTTTGCTCATTCTGCCCTGCTGAAAGTCGAAAGTGCCCCCTTCCCTCCTCGCCTTTTTTTTGGGGTGGGGGTGGTCAAAGCAGATCTATAAGGTCTAAAACGTCGGCTGAGCTACAGGGTTAAAACTTTAGGCTGTTTATTTAGATGTCGAAACAGTACTGAACTAAGTGTGGTAACAACGCAAGGTTAAGCCAAACGGCTTCGCATATATTTCAGAAACATGGATGAAAGTAACAATTCCCATGTTACTTTATTGAGAATGCAGAATACCTGCAATATGAATTGAACACTAGCAGGAAAGAGAATGCAATAATATAAATTGGATTATAAGATCCACTAGGCAATTTTAAGAATGTGTTTCATCATAGCTCAGTATGAATAGCAGAATTCTTCAGATTTACATGGTTTTTTTTTTTGTATGTGCGTTCTGGGAACTCTGATAATTGAATACAATTTCAAAGGGCTCTAAGAAAAAAAAATAGTGCTCAAGCCAGTGACCTCAAAACTAGATTCACAGCACAGTACACAATAATGCAAAAGAACGCTGATGAACAGAAATGTAAGCATTCATATTATTAGGACGTGACTGAATTTTCACTTAATTTTATTTTGTTTTGGAGTTATACTCCAAAACAGACACTTCATTTCATATCTTAAAATTGTATCACAAGGGTGTTAGGAGAGAATTCAACAGCCTTGGGGGGGGTCTCAATAAAATACAGCACATAGATCGCATAACGTTATCCCATCGGGTGAATGGAGGAAAATTTACGCTTGAGGGTCCCTTTGAATAAATGGACTTGAAAACTTCTCAGTTCCTCCGTTTCTATGCCTCCTCTCCTGGGTTCGGAAGCCACCTGTGCCGCAGGGAACACCTGCCACTTTTACCGCCGGCGAATCGCCTGCTGCAGCTCGCAGGAGGAGGAGGCTTCGCGGAAGGAAGAAGAGTCGGGCTCGCAGCAACCAGCGGGCGGGAGGCGGGGGACGCTGAGGGGCGGGCCGAGCGCGCGGCGCG